CTCTTGAATTTTTGTATGCACAAGAATCTGGAGACGGCCATCCTGCTTAAATTAAACTACTGCCATTATGATGAAAACATTTAAAAGAGCACTAGGTAAACTTCAAAGCTTACTTCAGTGTTTGTATCTTACAAATAATTATGTATTACTGAAGTGAGGAAATGTTCAAGGAAAAATAGCTGTAAATAGTGCTGGAACATTATTTGTGTATTTACTGTGTTACCTTACAAAAGGAATATTACCGGCACCTTAATGGAATTTTTGGTGCGTTTATTTATTTGCCCAACCTACGGAAGAAGCTGAAGTGAATCTGAATTTCACAACCTTGTTTACCTACTGTAAAAAAGCTTTTTTAACTGATGTGATGGCCTGCCATTTGACAACTGTAATAACAATAACTAACCAAACAAATCACAACTAATCTTGTTTCCTAAGCAAGACTCAGCCAGGAATGTCAAAGCTGACTGTTGTGGCACCCCTTTCCTAGCACAGTGTGCCTTACCCTTTCAGAACAGCACAGGGTAAGTAGGGAGTGTCGCTCTTCGCTTTGCTGTTCCTGTCCGTGTGAAGTTGCCTTATGTTTTCCTTTGAACTTCAGCTCGTAAATTAAGATGTTCACTACTCTTCTGCAATCTCTCTGAAGTCAGGCTGCAAATACGCAATTAATATTATTTAATTTTGTTAAAAAACAATAAAGTTCATGTGAAATGTCCATTTATAAAGTATTCCTGGTGAATTCCTGTACATAATGAATTTGATTTGTACATTCTGCTGTTTTTATTTAGTGTTAGATGTATAAAGTTATGGTTATTTCTAAGTCATTAAATAAATTGAGCTTTGCCAGGAATTACTCTTTCAAGCAATTTTTTTTGATAGGAAAAGAGTGTTACAAAATTATTTACTTCTCAAGTATTTACCGAGATAATGTCTGGTCTGAACAGTTATAGTAACACCTGCTTTTCAATTTTTGCTTAAGGCTCAAACCATTAACTTGTATGAGGAAAGGAAACCTGCTGCCCTCCTAAATTGTATCAGACCATGGCTATACAAGAGCATGATGTTAACCAAACACATCCTGAAATCACTTCGGCTGCCAGACCTTTTAGTGGATTATGTGACCCTGCTACCCAGCTATACCCAGTTTAGTTTGCTTCATATGTTATTTCTCTTGGCTTGGGTTTCTGCACAAGTCTGCCACCATACAGCACTTATCTTGAGATGGATATTTGAGCAGACAGGAGCTGTGGCCTAGAAGCTGTCCTCCAGCATCATTCTCCTGACTGAAAGATGAGCTGTACAGCTGCCTTCAGCCAGGGGAAGGAACAGTGTCCTGTGCTTTTCTGTTTGCTGTTAGAGCAACTTTAAGACAAAGTCATTGTTGCAGAAAGGCTGATAACTGTTTTGTGGCTCATTCTGATTCCTAGGGGAAATGCTGGGAGCGTTTTAGCCACAGAGGTAACCAAGCTAATTGGGAAATGTAGAATTAAATAAAAACAGGGGTTTCAAAAGGTAGGGTGCTGAAGAAGTAATGTAGCCTACCACTGAACAACTGTTCAACACAGATGCAACTACAGATGAAAAACAGCAAAAAGGGAAGTGTGGATAATTCCCCCCCCCCCCCCCGACTTTGTTTTCACTAGAGACAGGATCATAAAGGAAGAGCCATGAATTTCTATAGCACTGGAAGTATGTATACATCTAATATCATAAGGGCCAGTCTTACAGCTGCTGCTGATCACATGGTGGGAACCTAGCACTGCTAGCAAATCTAAGTCTTTACTAGAGACCTGTTCTCCAGCAAAAGCATTCCATTTTTAGAAGGCAAGAGGCTGTAGGGCTGGTGGAAAGCAGGCTTACAGGTCCAGAGTGACTTTGAAAGGACTTTTCAGAAAACAACTGTTTATCTTGCAACTGCATGAGGAAGTTTTATGATGAGGGCAGTATTTCTTGTCTTGGATAAAGCACCCTGCCTTACAGACAGGAATATCAGTATTAACTTAGTCAGTGCTTTTATATGTGCTGTAGCCCAAGATCTTCCTGTTGCAGCCCTAAATTTTATATGTGAACATGACCATCTTAAGCATGCATCTGAGTAAGAAAAACAAAGCACAGCCTAAGATCCATGCTAGTTTTGCAATTACTCTTTGTGCTTGCTACTCTGTTCAGTGCCTGCAACTCTGTACAGTGGAGGTTGATGTCCATTTGAACATGGATGGCTACACAAAAGCAAAGGCAGAATTATGATTTTCAAACAAGTTACTGGGCATCAGCCAACACTTCATATGCAACTGCTGTGTTTACAGATTATGGGAAGCTGGGGGGGGGGAGGAGAGATAGTTATGTTTTTGACTTCCATTACCTTAGGTTAATAAACTTGTACTGCAAGGAAAACATAAACACAGGCTCATGTCAAAAAGTTTCAGCTGAGCTCTTACTACAGAACCACAAACACTTCATTTGTCCACCTGTCTCACTGGGAAATTAAATCCCAGGAACCAAATTTAAGAACTAAGTCACAAGCATAGCAAAAGCTTTTAAGACCTTGCTATGTGCCATTGAATCAAAAAATCCATACTGTGATTGCTGGCTGTGAGAGTCGCTGCCATGCTTCCCTGCTCCTCCTGGCCTGAAGAGTAGCTGTCATACATGTGTGTACCACAAAAAGCACATGCTGCAGAGTTTAAGGGTTTGCTTTGGTACCTAAACCTTGCTTGGACTCTCACCACTTCAGTCTTTTAAATGGAAGTTTATAACCCAAAATGTAACACACTAAACACAGAATTCAAGTGTAACAGTTTATGCTTCATGCTTTTACTCCTATGGGTAACGATGCATCTACCCTGAGGCAATGGCTTCACATCATTAAACACAGCAGCTCTCCTAATTCAGCACTACTTAGTTACTAAGATGCCAACAGATCAAAATTAGAGAACAGTAAGAGATCCATTTGTTAATAAAACCAGAGGAAACAAGGAAGGTGTTAACAGGATAAAGTAAAAAGTAAATTAATTGTCCAATTCTTACAGCATTCTAGTATCTCTTGGCAGAGGACGTAAGACAAATTATGGTGATTTTGGAATGCAGCTTTCCCTTCTGTAGCTTAAGGGCAGAACTACTCAGCATCCCTCAGTTTGTAACCTTATAATGAATTAAAACAACCCAACCTCTTCATGCAGAAAACCTTTTAAGGCTACTAACTACAAAGATAAAAAGCCTTCTGGAAATTCGATTGCTTTTCCAGATTTCTCATCTCGTGGCAGCCTACAAAGAGTTCTAGTTGCAACAGTGACTGCCTATAGTTTAAAACCTGTTTGGCTCTTCAGAAAGCAGAAGAGATCATTTTGAAAGCTGACATGTCTTCCGTATCTCCTCACAAAGCCAGCTTTGGTAAAGCCACCCCCGGCACACTCATGTCAGTTCTGACAAAGGGTGCTCCACAAAGCTGGCAGAGGCAGAGATGAAGTACAACCGGCCTGAAGGCAGCTGTGGCTGCTGCTGTGCTGGTCACATTAAGACACTGTAGTTGGTTATGTCAAAGTTGGCTGAATACCAATAGTTTTCAGGTCATCTATGACAGGGGAGTAAGCCCATGAAATTATAATAGCATCCACCAGTTACTTTGCAGATAGGCTGGTTGGGAACTTCTTCCTGCTGATCAAATATTGACCTGGAAAATCTGCACAGTGTACCCCCTAAACTTTAAAATGAATGAAATGAAGTGTGCAAGGGGCTCCACCCAGGAGTGTCTGACACACTGCCGTCAGTGGCTGGCAGCACTGGTTTGGGGATTATTTACTTACATTATTTTAATACAGTTAGCATGGAGTTTGGCTCCATTCGCAGCCCAGCAGGCTCAAAAGCAGCCTAGCTACAGGGTAACACAGAGAAGGCTACTGCCTACCTACTTACATCTTCATCTAATATCTTGCATGTTCTGCAAGCTGCTCAGGTGCTAAGCAAAGCTTTAGTGCTAAGAAAGCATAAGTCTTCTGAGGTAAACCTGCACAAGTTAAATGGGCAGACATTTCAACCACTGCTAGATACACACTTGCTGTGCTAAACAGGTAAAGGTCTCAGCAGATCTCCTGGAAGCACTTAAGATAGCTAAACCAAGCAGCCTACCCTGAGGTTTAGAATTTTTGAGTCACCTTAGAAAAAAAAAAAATAACACACACAAGACCACCTTCATGCAAAACCCACGGTTACTATAACAAAAGCCTGAAACTTCAAGTGAAATTGTAGCTAACATGTGCCTTGATGACACTTTTCCAATCAGTTCTTTCCTGCAAGCATCAGACATTAAACACCATCCTTGTAGCTGTAAGATAAGCTTGTGAGATACTTGGTCCTGAGTGGACTGAGGCCATCCTGATGGATTTTCTTCACAAAGCACTGAGGAACAGAACTCACACACTGAGTGAGACAGGATCCCTACTGAGATGTAAAAGCTGCCAGTCTCTCACAAGGTCTAGGATTATTTATTGACCATGTCAGTAAGCAAGATAAATATAACTTTTACTCTCTTACTTGCATGGAAGGCATTTCCTAGCATGTCTGCTGCTCTGTCTAGCAACATCATAAAGGATTCTGAAGTACAGGAAATTATGTTAACAGGAACGTCTACTTCAGCCAAAGATGTGGAAGGTGGTGGCAGTAGGTTGACTAAGAAAGAACAGGTCTCAGTCCTCCACTTATTCTTCCTCAAAGTTCCGTTTTGCTTTTTCCTAATACAAGTGACTAAGACAGCATCAAGCAACTACTAAGGAGCAAGATAAAATCGTTATTCACTGTGAATTACCACTATCTTAAAGGGATTTATTTTGACAAACATAATCACAGGTGATGAAAAGAAGTGAAAACTAAAATGCTTCATTTTGCCTCGCCTAGTTCCAGTAATGCCCAAATCAGTTTTGGAAGTCCTGAAAGTCAGTTCTGAGAGTATGTTTTGTTTTTGTTCTAAATAAACCAAAGATTTCTGCTATGACAAAAAAAAAAGTATTCATTTTTATGTTACGTTTATAACAAGTCTTTAAAGGAAAATAGTTACAGGTATTCAACAGCATCAGACTTCAAAAGAAAAAAGGTAACACGTACAATACAAAAATACAAAAAAATATTTTTTAGAACTTACAAACTCAAAAGTCTAAATAGTCAGAGTTTTCCTAAAATAATAATACTAAAACTAAAAAAAAAATACACTTCAAGATGCACTTTCCTTTCTGCACTCGCAGGTTCAACTTCAGCATTATGAAAGTTTTTAAAGGGAGAATGAAAGAAATTAACATATTGAATTCCATGACCAGTTCCAGGCTGGAATTAATTTAGTAGCCGGCACTATCAGGTATTTGAATTAAAAAAGAACTGTATGCTTGTTTGGAGAGAAGGGGTTGTTATTGCTGTTGATAACTTTCCGTTTAACTAGTTCTGCTTGTAAAATGGTTTAAAAATATACAATCTAAATTAGACTGAAATTTATACACTTGTTACTAGGTTTGAAATCCTACAGCACCATTCTGCAGTATGACACCTAGGAAATTAAATTGAGCAAACTAATGTCATCGTTGACAAGTGCTACAAAAGGCAGGTGGGTAGGAAAAGGCTGAGCTTCAGTCCTGAAGCTGACTCTTGTTAGAAGCATTAGGACTGCAAATACAGCAATCTTCTCTAACCTGATAGTGTTCACTGTGGTCACCAGCATCAAGGCATATTTTTCAAATGGCAAAACAAATGGGAAAGTGCATCTTTTTATTTTTTCATACTTAAGCAGTAAGTTACCGATTTTTGGTGTGGCTTTTATTCCTTCTAGGCATTTTAAAGAAAGAAAAATATTTCAACCAAACGTGAAGCTTAATGTACATTAGCTTGTCTTTTTGGTAGTGGTTTTTGTATACCACATGGAAATGCTAACAAGCACTACTTGAAGCTAATGATTTAAGAGGAGCACACTGAAAATACTGATTTACCTTTGTAGTGAATATTCTTTACAGACTGTATCTAATATACAGACAAGACCCATATCCTGAGGATGAAACAGGCCACAGAAGGTTACACATCCTGCATGAAGTCTTAAAATTAGAGCTAAGTTATCAGAGCCACTCAGAGCAACATAATTCCTAGTTTGCAGAGACACAACAAAAGGTGACTGCAGGGAGGAAAAAATCCAGGTTCTATTTCCTGCATAAGTTTATATTCAAATTAATAGTCCACTAACACTTCTAGCACAAGACAATGCTGACTCTCTTTAGAAGTATTGCAAAGAGTCAACTGCTTCTCCTGTTATAAAGAGGGAGCCAGAAGTGAGAATGCAAAAGGATTCAATGTTAACCTCATTAAAGAGACAGTAACCTTTTTCATCCACCTTAACTACTCATTGACCAAAACCAGAAAAACAGAATTAAAAAAAATTAAAAAAAAATCTTAAAAAGGTACCACTCCAGTTTCTTTATTATCTGTAACCTTTTGAAACTAATCACATCGAACTACAAAATTAGCAAATGCCTTGAAATCTGTATACAAAACATAAATTACCTCTAATTTCAAACTCATTTATTAGTGTACCCCTCAAACTCTTAAAAAAGTGGCTCCAAAGATAATCTTATAACATTCTTAAAAAAGGAAACTGCTCCTTTAATGTTACACCCTCCCCCCAAACACCCAACTCTCAATCCACATCATTTAGTTATTTTCTTGGTCATGGACATTTCCAAGATGAGATTTTATATTTCGTTCCCATAGCTTCTGGTTGTCAGAAAACCCATGCTTTCCTTTGTTGAAGGAATTTGGTCCTGCTGAGGTTGGCGTATCCCTGTAGAAAGTAAAACAAGATCAGTTAAGAAAGTCAGCTCAACTATAGCAGTTTGTGCAACATGACGCTAAAAGCACCAATTTCAGGTCCAACCTGCCACCAGAAACTACCATGCGTTTCCTTCCCTTACATCAGGAGTCCTCTCTATTAGCACCTATAATTTGGCCACAGAACTGATCTTTATGTGGCACATCAAGAAAGAGGAAAGCGATGGGTCAGCAGAGGAAGTGGGAGGGGCAGTAACTGCTGCTCTGAAGAATTTGTTAAAAGCACTACAAAATTGAGGATCCAAATTTGCTCAAGGAGAATAAAAATCCCATTGAACAGCAGTGAACCTCCAGGGGACTGACTTTAAAGGTGTTTGTCATGAGAGACTGCTTTTAAAATATACATGCTCAAAATTCATCCCTAACTTAGGTGAAGCCTCCTCTGAAAATACCACAAATGTGAGATGGTATAGGAGCAATCCTAAAATAAATGGACAAGCAGAAGAATTACATCGATTTGTGTTAAAAGCAAACAAGTTATTCTTTGTCTTTCTGAAAGAGGTGGTTCTGAAGTTGCACAGAAGTTTAAAAATCTGACCAGACTATCCTACTTCAAGGCAATTTATAAAATGGACAACTAGAAGGAGACAAAGTTTAGCAGCAAGCAGGAACTCCCACCCATTACCTTTCCAAGAAGAACACAAACTTCTATTTAATATAGAATCAATCTCCTCCTCAAAAAGAAGGCAAACAGGATTCAAAGTGCAAATGTAAATGTGCTACTTTAACCTACAGCGGAACATTTGAAAATAACTGTATTAACATTTTCTTGCTTCTTGAGAAAACCTTTTTGATCTTAGTCTACCTTCCTATATTTCTAAGCCATCTGCAAGATCTGACCCATGCTGCAGAAGGTATTTTTATGCACTCACACTTCCCCAAAACCACAGTTAAAAGCTGACCTACCTTCCAATATTCTTCATGCGCATCTTAGCTTCTGGAGGCATTTCTTCAGGTTCACTCTACAGAGAGAAAGGAGGTTAAAGTGTGGCTGGGCACTACCTTTTGAACATTTCAAATGCCTGACAAGATAAAGTACAGCCCTATGGAAAAGCAAAATGACTTAGGACAAAACTGAGGTTTGACATAAAGAAATGCAAGTTCCTTTGCTCACCTCTATGTAAGAAGGATCAGTAACATGACAATAAAATACTGAGCAAAACAGAAGCAGCATAACTTTCCTTCACTCCCCCTTTTATTAATTCCAAAGAAATCAACCATTAATTCAAACTATGTAGGCATCTCATTTTCAGGGAAAAGTTATCAGCACTTTAATGATTTCTTGAGCCAATGCAGAGCTACAAAGTTGCACATTCTTAAAGAGAAATACAGGAGATGTTTCTGGGTTGACAATCCCCGACATGTATGTAAAGAACCTTAAATGATCCACTCTCTCCAGCTAGCTCTAACCCACACCAATGGTACTTCAAGTTGTGTTGATCACTGGTTTATTACTCACATCTTCATCTTCATTGAAAGCTGCTGCTACGGAAAGGGTTTTTGGAGCAAGGGTTGGAACGGGCTCTTTAGGCTTCTGGAAAAAAACAAGTGCAAAGGTAAAATAAGTCTACTAACTCAAATAAGCTACCCTTGGTATTTTGGTAAAATGAAGCCAACATCTTCACTGAAACATGCAATGGTGTGGGGAGGGGAAGTGTTTTTTGTTATAGAAACAGGCAGATAACATAATATAGAAACAAGCGGATAACATTTTCTCTCTAATGAAAAAGGAAAACAGCTGCTATTTGTGAGAGACACTCCAAACAGCAGGCCGAGCCTTCTCATTACAACTTCCCATAAGCAAGCCGTAACTTTCTTGCACGCTGCAGGCATATGCAGCTACTGGAGCATGACATGAGCAATTAAATCAGAACCTGAGTAAGTTGTGATATTCAAAATTTCACTATGTCACTGTTTCCACTATTCTGTTGGAGTATTCTTATCCATCAATTCCAAGAAGATAAATATTGTCTTTTAACAAGATAACAGCTTTCCTGCTTAAAACAATTCAACATCAGTGGCTCAGAGAAGGCAGCTTTGTCCATTTTTCTGAAGTCTCAGCTGACCTGTTTGCACTTAGACCCCTGAATGTGCCCATCTGCAGCTCCCTCCCATCTCAAAGTAACAGAACATTCTCTTCATTTTCTGCAGATCTCTAAAATGCTGGCATTGGAGGTGCAAGCCTTTCATAATTATAGTTTGAATTTCATCCAGACAAGTATCTATAACATATCCATCCCAGCGCTATGTGGGAAGTGTAAATTAACTGTACTAAACAGAGAAGCAGCATCTGACTTGTCCTTGCCCAAGCTAGCAGAAGACTACTTCGATAGTAAAGACACGCATCAGATTCATACCTGAACAAGTGCAAGGACGTCTTATACTGGACAATAAAGGGGTTCAAAATTCTTAGAAACCTATGTAACAAAGCCTCATCTCTTGCATATAGTATAAATGAATCACACTATCCTTGTAAAGAACAGGCAAAGTCATGAAACATAGACTATACCTCCCCATGCTAAGTAAGATCTTTGGAGTGGAAGATGACTTATTAAACTACCTAGGAAAGTACTAGCTTTCCTGTAGCTTTAAGCAGGCTATGCAACGAAGCTCCCAGCACTCATTTCAAAGTAGCCTGTATAGTTTAACAAGCCTGCCCATTTCCCACAGGAAATTATTCCAGACCTATCAAATCTCATTACAAGATTATTCTGTATGGTCAAAAGATGTACAGCTTATTTCAATCAAGTCTTATGCTTCCTGAAACAAATGACCTGGTATTAAATTGTCTTGAAGTACTTACACAGGCATGACCAGCTGGCCCTGCAATGCTTCCTTAAACATTACCCAAGTTAACCTCATGTAATTCAAGGTTTTCCTTCTGCAAGGAAGCATCCCCAAATTTCCCCTTTTGCCTCAGTTTCACTAAAATTAAAAGCCCTCAGACAACTTACATTTGCTCCTAGTTTGATGGATATTGCAGATGCCTTCTTTGTTGTCTGACTGCCTATGGAAAATCCAAACTTGGACATTTTGGCAGGAGCAGGCTTTGTGGTGAAGTCTTCAGCTTCTTCGTTAGCTGCCCGTTTCTCTGCGCTGCGACTCGAACTTTCTCCTCCATTACTGGAAGAAACAGTCTTAGTTTTCACAGGTTTTTCTGCCTCTTCTTCAGGTCCTGGTGAAGTCGAAACAACTTACCAAGATGAGCTATTTTTACTGAGCAGACTGATGGGAGCAGCAACCTCAAAAAGCATTATACTTTGGGTGCAATAGGTAAGGTGTTTTTAGTGACAGCAGTTTCCACCAATGTACATCTAGTGGACAGCAAAACACAAAGAGAAGAAGAAACTGCAAACACTCCACTACTTGTCAAGAATTTCTTGTGTATGAGCCAGGAAAACAATCTTGAAGCACCATCTCTTTATTTAGTATGGAAGTCAAAGGTTATGTAGTAAATTAAATGTAGATGACTAAATCTTTTTAGGGTTTAAGTTGCCATAGATTAGCTTTCATAATTGAAATCCCAATTCCAAATCTAGAGTAGATAATCTAAGCTGCAATTAATTCTACTGAATTTCTATAAAAACACGTTCATGCCAGTCTCTAGGCTTGTCTGGCACAACTCTAAAATCGTGGAAGTGACTATAGTGAGGCCAAATTTCTCAATCATGTTTCAAGTCACTGCTTGTCTGCATCTCATCTGTAATATATCTGCCAAGCTCTGTTTGAGGAAGGAATCAGCACGAGAAAAACATATATATAGAGTTCATCTTTTCTGGTTTTGTTTAAAGTCACGGAAAACATAGCAGCGGAAAAATGATCCACAGAGAAAAAAAAAACCCACTCAAATCACATTTTCATTCCTATACACTTGGCTTCAGCTACACCAAGAGACAAAGGTGTCCCTGGTAAACTCATTCTAAACATACAAATGCTTCATCAAGAATATGTTTCTCTGCTGCTGCAATAAGCAAATCATTGCAGTAGCAGAAGGGGGTTAAATGCAGTGGGGAATGGACAGGGAAGTGCTCATGCACTCATCAGTCTAAGAAAAACTGGAGCTAGCACCAGTTCCTCACTGTACCAAGTGGAGAAGAGGACCCTCCATGCACAGCAAATTCAGACCATCAGGGAAGAAAGCTTTTTGTGCTGCTTTCTAACAGCAAAAACCTATTCAGTAAGATAGAGCAGTAGGAGAGTAGCTAGTCTGAACTCAAGGTCAACAAGATTGTAGCTCTGAGAAAAAAAAAGGAAGCAAACAAGAGGAGAAAGAAAAACTTGGGACACCATCAGTATATATTTTTCTGCTATTTCCCAAATCATAAGCAACAGAATATAACCTTTCTACCTCACTCTACCAGCTAGCAATGTAAGAAGTGATTTGAACAAAAACTGATTAGTCACCTTTGGAAACATAGCAGATCAAAGAAAAAACTCCAACAAAACACAAAACAAACCACCCAAAACCCAGCCTGCAATCAATTTCACTATTAAAAAATGGTACTAATCTGCACCACTAGAAATTCAACACAGAAAATATCGATATAAAAGTGATAAACAAAGGAGGAAAGAGACAAAAGCAAAATTTACACAAGTGACCTTGGGTACTGGTTTTCTTAGCACAGTTTCCAAAACAGCAGTCTGCAGTCCATCAAATCACATTAAAAGAATATTCAATTGCAAGTCCAGCCTACAGCACTAGAGACTGTAAGGTGATCCAAGGGCAGGTAGACAATTCACTACCCTTAGAGGCATTGGGACCATGGGCCTGAAAATCATCTTTTTCTAAGATAAAAGATTTCCAGCAGCCCATATCTCAGGTCACACTGTACCAGTGCAGGTCCCTACACTAATGCTAGTTTGAAGCTAATTAAACTACAGCTTACTTGTTTGGCTGCAAATTCCAGAATATTGCTAAGCCCAAGATGAAGCCAAATACAATTTACCCACATCTGTTTTCTTACCAAAATAATAAATAGCTTCTCTTTCAAAACCAGCTCCTATCTCCACTGCATTCTCAATGTTACTTCTATCAGGCTCCACTTAGGACAAACTGTAGACTGCTGAGAGAAATACTTGCTGAAGGAGCTATAAAAGGCATAGGACAATTGGGGTAGGTGGGGAGAGAGCCATTGCGCCATTCTATTTCCGCAGGGAACAGAAAAGCAGGCCTGTATTACTCATTAAACAGGCATCTCCCATCTCCCATGCCAATGCATATGTATTTTCAAAACATTAAGGCTTCTTTATAATTTCCTAGAGATGTTAAGCAGGTGCTACTTCACCTATGGAAAGCACCAGTACTATTTCAAAACTAGTCTGACTAGTGCTCTTTTCATGGACCATGGCAATAAGAAGCTGTCCTACTTCACAGATGAGTTTCAGTAAAACTACGTAAGGGGACAACTTTCACTGTCTAGGTGATTTAAGTGGCAAAGATTGACAATGCCCCATGGAGTGTGACCACTGGTGGCAGCAGGAACAAACCAGCCACAACTAAGTTAACTTTGGCTTTTGCCAAGATCAGTGGGGTCTACGTTAAACACTCTAAATTGCTTTCCAAAATCATCAGGGAGTAAGTATCCCTCCTTAGATCTAATGGACCAGAATTCATTAAGAACATGTTCCAGCACACCAAACAAGCAGACAAAGTGGTATGGATAACTGACAAACTGATACTGTCCAGTTGCTGTACTACTAATAAAAATAAATAAATAAAAAAGAACACATATAAAAACCCCCATTAAAGCCAAGACAGAACCAAGAGTCAAGAAACGACAAAAAATTTAGTATTATTGTTCATGGTTTAGGGATTATCAAGAATAACATTAACTGTTGAGCCTATCCTAATAGATTTACAAGTCTGTTTTAAGTTTTCAACAGATCAAATGCTCTCTCTGCCTACAGATATACTTAAAAACCCCAAACAAACAAAACCCAGAGAAGGGGCATGAGGATGATCAGGGGGCTGAAGCACCTCACATACAAAGGCAGGCTAAGAAAATTGGTTCTGTTCAGCCTGGAGAAGAGACGGCTGCATAGAGACCTCATAACAGCCTTCCAGTGTCTGAAGGGAGCCTGCAGGGATGATGGAGAGGGACTCTTCATGAGGGACTGCAGCGATAGGATAAAGGGTAATGGGTTCAAACAGGGGAAGTTCAGCTTAGATAAAAGAAGTTCTTTACTGTGAGGGTGGTGATGCACTGGAACAGGTTACCCCGATCTTAAGGTCCTTTCCAGCCCTAAACATTCTAAACCAAAACAATAAAACAGTGATAAAAAAACCCCAAGCCCTTAATATTTGCAATTTAGATTTTAAGTTGGGGAAGGAAAGGAAAGAAACATTATTAAAAATTCCAGGATATCTCACAGTAACTCATATGGAAGATGACAGGAATGTGCATAGTATAAATACCATAAAACCAAACAGAAAACATGCACATTGATGCCAAGCAAAAAAATCAAGATGCTTAAAACGACACAAGTAAGAACTATTCACCGTACTCATTTTTAAAAGGTACCACAGCTGCTAAAAGCTGGTCCTTAAGGCGTTGTTTTCATCCTTGCCGACAGCAATAACCAAATTTCTTGCAATACACGGCATAAGTACTCCGCGTATCTTTATTTTTAGTTTATTTTTCGGAAGGAAAGAAATAAGGCAAGGAGAAACCATCCCCTTTTCTAAAAAGATCCTTTAGGGCTAAGGCTAATCCTCAGGCCTGGGAGAGGGCAGGGCCAATCCTCCGCTTCTCCCCCAGCGCAGCCCCCTGAGGCTGGGCCACCCCCTCTACCCGCTATTGTCCGGCCCAGGCCTGCCCTGCCGGGAGCAGCATACCAAGATTCCCCCAGCCCTAGGAAACCAGCCCGGGCACCCGCCCACCCCGCAGCTGCGCGGCGAGAGGCACTACATGTTCACCTCCTGCGGGCTGCGGCCGATTCGCCTTCGCCCCCTCAGCTCCGCCGTCCGCCATCTTCCCCACCTCTAGCCTCCCGCGCTGCGCATGCGCACTCGCACCGCCGCGGCAGTCCCACTGCCCCCTCCCACCGTCCCCACCCTCCAAGGCGCAGCTGGAATGACACAGCCGGAAGTTGCGCTCTCTGCGCCGGCAGGACAAGTGGGTAGGCGGAAGGTGGTGCTGTGGCGCACGTCTTGTGGGGAGGCTCGCTGCGCTCGTGGATGCGGCGCCTGTTGAGACTGAATGAAAGGGGTATTGAAATAGGGAAATATAGGCTGAAATATAATCTAAGTAAATTAGTTCTGCTTAGTGATCATCCTTGTATATGATAAATGACCGTAGTTGACGTGGTTCTAGGACTTTGTAACCTTGCACAAAATTTATGGTAAGCAAAACAAACTAGCTGATGTTCAGGATGAGTTGTATCTGAGTTAACTGATAAGTAGAAGGATGGGGAGAAATCATTCAATTAGGTCAGTGGTGTTACTGAACTAATTAAGCTGGCATAAGCATTTATCTACTGCGCATGCTTCAAAGGCTGCCAGGACGAAAGTTCAAAGAACGGCAAAATGATGAAGATTGTTCGAAGAAGTAAACGACACCTAAACACCACTACCACATTTTTGTGCGCATGCGGGAGAAACTTTCTAGGAGAATGATGTAATGTTTAAGTAACCTCATGAGTATGCATGTACATAATGAATATGTACACTTAGTGAGTATTGTGAGGACCGATTGCTTAGCAATGCGGCAGAGACACGCTAGGAGGAGCAATCTTCCGTGTCAACCAGCGCTGCAATAAAGAATACCTGCTTGTTAACTTAAAACGTTGTTGGCGAGTTCCTGGAGATTTCTCCGAATCAATTTGGCACCCCGGATGGGACCCTCTCTGCTAGGCTGCAGGACCTGCTGAGGACAGAACTCCCTAGGGCCCTCGGGAACTTGACCTCTCGACTTAGATTGCTGCAGGAGCAGACAAGAATCATCTTTTATATAGCCTGTAAGATGCAGGAGGCATCTTACATAAAAACTAAATTGGTTTGGTAAGCGTACGCAAGGTTTGGAAGCCGCCTGTAAATCGAGGTAGGAAATCTCGTAGGTAAAGGCGTATACCCAGCTGCTAGTGTCCGTTTGGTATACACCTGCAAGACACAGGGGGCGTCTTGTGGTTTAGGCCCTGCAAGATGCAGGGGGTGTCTTGCTGAAGCGGTTATTGATTTTACTGGTATTTGACTTATTTTGTGGCTCGTTGTGGTAACGATTTTGGTATTGGCGACAGGATGTTGTAACTGTTATTGTTGTTTGATTGAATTTAGTCTCTGTCTCAAGTATTAATTGTTATTTGTTTGATTGAATTTAGTCTACGTCTTAAGTATTGTAACTGTTGGAGTGTGTCTTTGAGATCCCGTGTGTGTGTGAATGCGAAATTAATAATGGGAAATCAACAGAGTGAAGAAATCTTGAAAAAGAGTCCTTTAGGGTGTATTTTGGCACACTGGAAAGAACTGGAAGGGTCTCCTGGGAGCTCGGTAAACAAGAAAACTTTGATAAAATACTGTAATCAATGGTGGCCTTTAAGTACTTCAGAAGATAAGGAAAAATGGCCTAAAAAATGGAACTCTGAACTATAGGACATTGTTGCAATTGATGTTGTTCTTAAGGGGACAAAGAAATTGGGATGAAGTGATGTATGCAGATATGTTTTTCACTTTAAGAAACCACCTGGAGTGGCAGACGGAAAGCAAAATTAATATAGCTCTGCCAGATCCCTTAATTTTGGCTTTGGAAAAGGACAGGGAAAAGCAGAAAGCTAAGCTGGAGGATGTTGTTGAGCCTATGATACTGGGGAAGGCTGTTTAAAATTAAAAAAACAGACTAATCGGGAAGATAGACTGGAGAATTATGTATCACATGTACCTCCGAGAAGAACACCCTCTGCATCTGTCCTATCTGATATTGATAAGGTGGAAGAAGTTGCTGTCACTGGCAAGAAGCAGCAGATTCACATTCAGAGTTAAGAAAGGGTTAAAACAGAAGTGCTGTTTCAGAGGCAGGCATCTGCAGCTGTTGCAGAGCAGGGTGAGCAACTGTGAGGAAAAAAAAATAAAAATGGAAGGAGCTCACGCAGCTCCTGTGTTTAAAGGTATAGACATGATACAGGGTTAACCAATGTACAAGGGGGTTGTACAAGTGGGTTAGAGGAATTCGCTTGCTTAAGCAAAAGTATTGTCTGTACCTATCATACCTACTAAGCAGAACAAAGGCACTAACTATTGATAGGGGAAAGCAGACACCTGGTTCTGTTGACAAGGAAAAGCAGATGCCTCATTCTACTGATAAGCAGCTTTTGATAAGGAAAAGCAGACTGAAGAGGGAAAAGCAGATGGTTTATGGCTGGGACACCGACCAAACCCTTAGGCCATACGTGAAGACTAAAAGGTGAAAAGTTCAATAAGAGGAAGACTCGTTTACTTCATCTTGAAGACCCTTACCCACAGGAGGAAGACTCATTTACTTCACCTTGAGACCCCTGCCCATGACCAGAGGGGGCACTGCACAGGCACAAAGGACCTTCTAGCTCATTATAATATGAAGCTGGGATAGGACGTGAATATGTATAGGCGTATTGTGAAACCTTATGAATATATATAACTTTAGAGAATAAATGTAGAGGGAAACAACACTGAGGTAAGCATGACCTTGAGGAATTATCCCTGTGCGTCTCAGCACTGAATAAAAGGCATAACTACTTTACAACTTTAACGAGTTGTGGAGTCAATCCACGTATCAGACATATTGACAGACTATAGTCCCGAGGAGAGTAAGAATTTATCGGATAAATACAAACAGAAATAAAGGAAGAAGCATGGACAGCGTATAGGAATCGGGAACAGGTAAAGAAAAAGCTGGGTCGTGCTATAGCCACGGCTACAGTGGCTGCTTTGGGAGAAGTGGAAACTGGTGGAGGGACTGATGTGAGGGAACGAGGCAGAGGTAGAGAAGGAATGTCAGGCAGTGGTGAAAGAGTGAATTCTTCTCCTATGGGACGAGATCAGTGTGCATACTGTAAGGAATCTGGATGTTGGAAGTGAGACTGCCCTAAAAGGAATACCTACAAGGTAGCCTCAGTGACTGAGTTAGAACTAGGCTGACGGGGACCTGGGGAATGTATCCTACCAGATCCACTGGTTAAATTAAAGCTAGGAACTAAAGGAAATGAAGTGGAATTTTTAGTGGATACAGGAGCAAAATATTTGGTGTTGAGTCAGAGGGAAAAGAATTTGTTACAGTTGTGGGAGCTACTGGCCACCAAGGGGGGGGGAAAAACAAAGGGCATTCTTTCTGAAACCTTTAGAGTATAAATTGGGAAAACAAATAGGAATGCATAAATTTTTATACATGCCAAATTCTCAAAAAAAATCTTTATTAGGGTGAGAAGCAACATTTAAAGAAGGCAAAATGGAATTAAGAGTTAAAAATGATCAATTAAGTGCAGTTTTGAGTTTATCTTCAACAGAAAAGCAAACAGGAGGACCTCCCTGAAATAGAAGAAATCCTTAATCCAGGTATATCTGGGAGTATGTGCATCTGAAGTTCCAGGTAAGATGAAAAATTGCTTTGCCTGTTGAAGTAGAAATAAAAAGGGGGGCCTGCCCAATTAGAATAAAACAATATCCCTTAAAATTGGAGGATCAAAAGGAAATCAAAGAAATCATTGATAATTTTTCAAAATATAGATTATTAACTGAATGTGAATTGGAATATAATACTCCTATCTTGCCAGGAAAGAAATCCAATGGAAAAAGTTACAAGATCTCAGAGCAATTAACAGAATTGTGGATGATATTCATCCAGTAGTATCCTTATATCCAGTAATCCATATACCTTATTGACTAAATTGAATAATAATCAGAAGTGGTTTACCATTCTGGACTTAAAGGATGCATTTTTCTGTCTGCCCCTGGCCAAAGAAAATCAAAATTTATTGGCTTTCGAATGGGAAAACCCAGAAACAGGAAGGAGGACCCAGGTCACTTGGACAATGTTACCTCGGGGATTTAAGAACAGTCTGACCTTTTCCGGAAATCAATTGGCAGGAGAATTGGAATCCTGGGAAGCACCCCCCCAGACAGGCACTTTACTACAATATGTTGACGACCTATTAATTGCTACTGAAACTGAGAAAGAATGTGTTCAATGGACTGTAGAATTGTTAAACTTCTAGGACTAAATGGATACTGGGTATCTAAATTGAAGGCTCAAATAATTCGAACTCGAGTATCTTATTTAGAATATGAAATAACAGGAGGACAACAGAATTTGGAGCAGCTCGGAAGGAAGCAATCTGTCAAACACCACGACTATCCACGGTTAAAGATCTCCACAGACATTTTTGGGAATAACAGGGTGGTGTCGACTCTGGATCCATGATTATGGTGTTCTGGTAAGACCCCTATATGAGCTGCTAAAAGAAAATCCAACCTTTCTAAAAATGGACAGATCAAGCTGAAGAGGTGTTTAAAAGTTTAAAGACAGAACTCGGGAGAGCTCCAGCTCTTGGGCTCCTGGACTTGGACTATAGCTCTTTTGGCTATATTCCTATGAGAAACAGGGAATAGCTTTGGGGGTTTTGGCTCAAAATTTGGGACCTTATAAAAGAGCAGTGGCCTATTTCTCAAAACAGCTGGATGAGCCCAGTTAAGGCTGGCCTGGATGCCTGAGAGCAGTGGCAGCAGTTATCTTAAACACAAGAGGCCTGAAAATTTACACTGGGACAAAAGATTACCGTGTTAGTGACACACAAAGTATCAACTGTCCTAGAACAAAAAGGTACTCATTGGCTATCGTCATCGCGTTTCTTGAAATATCAGGCCATCCTGGTAGAACTGGATGATGTGAAAATTGTGGTCACTAATGTTATGAATCCAGCATCTTTCCTTCAGGAAATTCTCACCGAAACATTGGTTCATGATTGCTTGGCCATTATAGAGACAGTATACTCGAGCCGACCAGACCTGAAGGAGGAACCTCTGGAGGGTGCAGATTCGTGGTTTACTGATGGCAGCAGCTTTGTTAACGACAGTAAACAACAAGCAGGATACATCATAACTACAACTTCAAAGGTAACAGAAGCTAAACTATTACCCTCTAACACCTCAGCACAAAACACAGAAATAATAGCTCTGACTAGAGCCTTGGAGTTGGCAAAGGACAAACAGATAAACATATTGACTGATTCCAAATATGCTTTTGGTGAAGTTCATGCACATGGAGCAATTTGGAAAGAACGAGGACTTTTAAATACCCAGGGAAGACAAATTAAACATGCAATGGAAATTCTACGATTGTTAGAAGCTGTACAATGACCTAATGAAGTGGCTATCATACGTTAGAAAGGACATCAAAAAGGTAACTCTGATCAAGAGATTGGAAATAATTTGGCTGATCGTGAGGCTAAATGGGCAGCAGAAACAGAAAGAGTTGAGGTGATGTCCTTAATTTCTGACGGTAAACAGGTAATTGAGCAAAATAAACCTAGGTACTCTAAAGAAGATATGAAACTAACTGAAGACTTAGAAGGACAGGAAAATGAAAAGGCCTGATGGGCGAGTAGTGATCCCCTATAATCAATTATGGAAGTTCATACAAGAAGAGCATAGCAAAATTCATTGTGGAAGTAATGCCTTGTATAAACATTTAAACAAACAGATCATAGGAAGAAATTTCTGTACCATAGTGCAATTAGTGACAAAACAATGTCAACTATGTCTGAAATATAATCTTAAGACTGAAAATAGGAATCGGGTAGGGACAACTGGAAAAGGGAATGATCCAGGACAACAGTGGCAGACAGGTTTTTCTGAATTACCTAGAAAAGGAGGTTATTGATACTTGGTGGTATTGACAGATACTTTTTCAGGGTGGCCAGAAGCATTCCCTTGCAGGGCAAAAGTGATTAATGTGCTATTAAATGAAATAATATCTCATTTTGGGGGTACCAGCAACTATTTCCTCTGACCACGGTACACATTTCAGTGCAAAATTACTACAAGAAATCAGCAAGAAATTGGAAATGGATTGGCAATTACATGTCCCATATGGGCCTCAGGCCAGTGGGTAAGTGGAAAAAATGAATCACTTAATTAAATAACAACTTGGAAGGATTTGTCAAGAGACTAAGTTATATTGGTATCAAGCATTACCATCTGCTTATTAAGAATCAGAACAAAACCTCGGTCAAAGGAAGGAATTAGCCCATTTGAGATTCTATATGGAAGTCCATACCAATCTCAGTTTAAAGGGGAGAGCCTTCAAGAACTAGGAGAAGGATACCTTCAACAGTTCTTAGTAGACTTAGGAAAACAGTTCGAAAAAATAAACAGCAAGAGTGTTAGGGACCAGGGCCAGAGGTTTAGATTACCCTATTCATCCTTTTAAGACAGGATATAGGGTTTATATTAAGAACTTTACAGGTAATCCTCTTAAGGAGAAGCAGAGTAGACCATATCAGGTGCTGTTGATCACCTTCACTGCAATCAAGATAAAAGAGCAACCTGCTTGGATACATTACTAAGAATTAAGAAGGAGCCAGAACCAGAAAAACACCAGAACTGAGAAAAAGTATGGCACATTGAGTGTTCAGGACCCACACATGAGAGTACATCTATCATAATTTGGACTTGTATAATAATAGGTGTAGAAGCATGGAATCAAAATCTGTATCTGAGATTGATACAAAATGTTACCAGTGTCTTAAACAAGAGTGATTGTTAGATCTGTACTCAGCTACCTAAATCAGGAGAGAGACCAGGTATTCCTTTAATTGGCTTCCCTATCCCCTTTAAGACAAACTGGAATAGATTGTGGCAAGATCCTGTTTATACCAACAAGAGCCATACAAATTTATAGGTTTTAAGGATTCAAGCCTTGAATATGTCAGAAGTTAAATGTGACCACAAGGCAACATGTCAGTAGAAATTACCCATATTACAGCTGGGCAGTGCAACTTCATCTTTGAAAACCTTTAACTGGTTATTGGAATGTTCCTGAAGGAAAAGGGTGGTATTAGTTATGTGGAGAAAATGCCTAAAAGGCTTTGCCTCCTAACTGGAAAGGAACATGCACACTAGGAGTAGTGATTCCCGACTTTAGAGTAATTGACATTCATCCCTCTGGAACCTGGGTTTGTAGTTTTAATAAATAAATCAAACGAGGATATAATCCCATAGCAGAGCAAAACACTGCTTTTTTTTTTTGTTGTTGTTAGATAGCTTATTCCATCTGTAGGTTTTAGTGAATTAGAGAAAGTGATTGTAAATAGCAGCAATTGAGGAAATGGAAAATTGAAATGCTTATGCTATTCTAGCATTACAAGAAGAAATAACCAGCCTGTCTAAAGTAGCACTCCAAAATCGAGTGGCATTAAGTACACTGTTAGCATCTCAAGGAGGAGTTTGTTCTGTAATCAATGAAAATATTTTGTAAGGTGACGCAGGATGACACCTCGTGGTGATTTGAGGAAATTTGGGAAAAATTAACATCATGGGTACCCAGTCTCTCCTGGTTGAGAGAGTTATTTTTAACTGTATTAGTAATAATAGGAATGGGTTTGATTACAGATATAATGGTCGTGTGTTCCTTTTGGTGTTGCAAATAATCAGTAATGAACCAAGAGAACAGTTAAACATCAGATAGAAACTGGAGAATATTTTAGAAAAACTCTAGAACGGAATGATTTAAGAAACTTTTGCAAAAGAATTTGCAAAGGAATAGAAAAAAGGGGTATTGAAATAGAGAAATATAGGCTGAAATATAATCTATTATAAGTAAGTAAATTAGTTCTGCTTAGTGATCATCCTTGTATAAGACAAATGACCGTAGTTGACATAGTTCTGGGATGTTGTAACCTTGTAAGAAATTTATGGTAAGCAAAACAGAACATGTAGATAATCTGAAACTAGCAGATGTTCAGGATGAGTTGTATCTGAGTTAATTGATAAGTAGAAGGACATGGAGAAATCATTCAATTATGTAGTGGTGTTATTAAACTAATTAAGCTGGCATAAGCATTTATCTACTGTGCGTGCTTCAAAGGCTGCCAGGACAGAAGTTCAAGGAACAGCAAAGTGATGAAGACTGTTGGAAGAAGTAAACAACCCCAAAAGACCGCTACCACATTTTTGTGTGCATGAGGGAGAAACTTTCTAGAAGAACGATGTAATACATAAGTAACCTTATGAATATGCATCTCCGTAACGAATACGTATGCTTAGTGACTATGTAAGGACAGATTGCTTATCACTTGCACAGAGACATGCTAGGAGGAGCAATTCACCGTGTCTTCTGGTGCTGCAATAAAGAATACCTGCTTGTTAACTTAAACTTTGTTGGCAAGTTCCTGGAGATTTCTCCAAGTCAATATTTAACGGTATGTAGAGACTTATAGATGGACAGGGCCACGGGGTTCTCAGTATAAGGCACGCATGCAACCAGAGGGCCAGAAGTCTTCTCTCAAATCAATACCAGCCTTCCTCCTCTTGATAAGGCCTGAAAACAGCACGAGCTGTAGTGAGCAATGGCGGTGTTTTCCTCCTCCCCAAAGCACTAATCTGTTCACAGATCAGGAGTGGCTGTAGTTATGGAGGAACAGCAAGTAACAGAAGGCATGCTCTAGCAGGACGCCTCCATATTGTCTCTTCTTCCTGTGAGGAAAATAGGCTGCCCAAGAAAGGTGGCCGGTCCTTGCACCCAGGGTTCTGCAGGGAGTGGGGAGGCCGCCCTCAGCAGCACCTGAAGCACTATGTTGGGGTATAGCTTTGCATACTACCCAACCATGTAGAGCTCAAAAGAAGTGGGTCTTTCTCCAAGCCATGGGCTCTCTGTGTCTAGAGGGCCCTGAGCTTAACAGGTGGTGATGAGTAATACTGGGGTAGCACGTCCTCTTTTTTCCACCCCCTCCTCATAACCCTGTGCAGCAAGAGGTGAGACAGGGAGTGGATCACCACCAACCTCTCGTGTATTTCAGGTCTACTCTTCAAAACTGCTCTTAGATTTTCAGGACAATCCCCACCACCTGCTATCATTAACTTCAAGCATCAGGGCAGTCAGACTAATTCAAAAAACATTTAAGCACCCATAAAAAAAAACCCTCCGTATTCTACAGACAGCACAAAGAACTGTATTGAACAGTGTGCCCATTGTAGCTCTGCATTCTGAATGCAGATCTTCACAGAGACACCCATCAGAGACACATTTTCTGCTGTGAGGAATACTAAAAGGCTCTCTGCTCCTCTATGTATTTCCTAATAATACTGTTTATAGAATCATTGAATTGTTAGGGTTGGAAAGGACCTTAAGATCATCTAGTTCCAACCCCTCTGCCGTGGGCAGGGACACCTTACGCTAAATCGTATCACCCAAGGCCTCGTCCAACCTGGTCTTGAACACTGCCAGGGATGGAGCATTCACAACCTCCTTGGGCAACCCATTCCAGTGCCTCACCACCCTAACAGGAAAGAATTTCCTCCTTATATCCAACCTAAACTTCCCCTGTTTAAGTTTTAATCTGTTACCCCTTGTCCTGTCACTACAGTCCCTAATGAAGAGTCCCTCTCCAGCATCCCTATAGCCCCCCTTCAGATACTGGAAGGCTGCTATGAGGTCTCCACGCAGCCTTCTCTTCTCCAGGCTGAACAGCCCAAACTTCCTCAGCCTGTCTTCATACAGGAGGTGCTCCAGTCCCCTGATCATCCTCGTGGCCCTTCTCTGGACTTGTTCCAACAGTTCCATGTCCTTTTTATGTTGAGGACACCAGAACTGCACACAATACTCCAGGTGAGGTCTCACAAGAGCAGAGTAGAGGGGCAGGATCACCTCCTTCGACCTGCTGGTCATGCTGCTTTTGATGCAGCCCAGGATACGGTTGGCTTTCTGGGCTGCAAGTGCACACTGTGGGCTCATGTTCATTTTCTCATCAACCAACACCCCCAAGTCCTTCTCTGCAGGGCTGCTTTGAATCTCTTCTTTGCCCAACCTGTAGCTGTGCCTGGGATTGCTCTGACCCAGGTGTAGGACCTTGCACTTGGCATGGTTAAATCTCATCTCATAAGCTCAGTGCTTTGGGAAATCTGTATTACATGGACTGAAAACAGGCACTTGGGGACAAAAGTCTTACACAAAGGTATGTCTTTTTTTTTTTTTTTTTATTTTGGTAGGGTCAAGATATTTGACTAACTCCCCTTCACCAGGGACTTCATTCATGCCAGACAGAACCCCCAGAAACAAGCTGTGCAACTCCCAAACTCATGCTAGGTTTCAATTGTTTTAGTTCAGCTGTGAAAAGTGAATTCGTCTGCACACCAAAAGTGGCTTCAGGAAGTAATGGAGAAAAATGTCTTCTCTTTTGTCTTCACCAACCTTTCAGAATAAGGTTAACCTGTGAGTACCCTCCATCCACTGCAAACCCAGAGCACCGAGACATTCTCTGAAGAACAAACTTCTGATTCACCTTTGTCCCAGCATGGTCCAACTAAACAGACTGATTTTCTTTGTACAGAGCAGTTTTTTAGAACAGAACAGGTAATTTCTTTTACAGAATTTCAAACGTGAATACATTTAAACAGCTGGAATACCAAAGTAATTAAAAAAAAGCCTAACTACAGTCCTTTCAAACTTAACCAAAGGCATGTTTAGAGATAAAGAGCTGAATAGTTTCAGAAGTCCTGAGATATCAGAGCATTCAAGGGCACAGTTTGCCTGTTTAAAAAAAAAAAGAAAAACACCCAACAAAAATAATTCTCTTCCTCATCACTCTACTTTTGTGTCTGCTTCTTAGAGTAGTTCTTTGCAAATTGCTTTCGTACTTCTTCCTGCCTCTTTCCAAGTTTAAGAGTGTTGATCAGGCTTAAGGTTTTTTTCAGTTCATGTACAGGCTTGTTTACAAAGCCGCAGTATTTCCTTTTTGGAACAAATTCAAGAGCCTTCTGCCAGTCTCCGGTGTCTTTCAAGGTTAATAAAATGTGCATCATTTGATCCAGTGTGAGATTTTTGGCACCAGTATTCCAGAGCAAGTACTTCTCTAACGGAAGGGCCGCAGTCTCCAGCCCCAGTCGCTTTGCTCGTGCTAAAGAGACCCCTGTTTTTATGTTCCTGTCAACCATTGACCCCACAATATAGATTTTATTGTGATCAAATGTTTTCATTACTTTGGGAGAATCAGCAGTCAGATAGATAAGCTTTTCCTTTGGAAAGACTTCTGTGTAGCACTGGTCTGTCACAGTGATAAGCAGTTTGCCCCACGCCTCCCTGTAATGCTTGATAAATTCCTTATGATAGAGGCTATTGTCTTTGAAGTTACAGAAGTGGATGTGGAACGGATCGATAGATCTTCGATTGGTACTTTCACTCAGTACTATCTGTCTCACTGTATTTGCCACTTCTCGGACAGACATATCTTTTTCAAAGGACATGTCAAATACTAGTGGCTGGCCAAAGACCATCGACTGTGCAGCCCTCCAATTGCATACTTTGTCCATACAGTTGGCCCACAAACATATGAATGAATTCTTTTTGGTCACACCAGTTTCTGAAGCTTGCTCTTGTGCTTCTAGCCTCCTTTCCCTTTTCTCTTCCATCTTTCTTTTGTCATTTTTCTTGTGAAGTTCTTTGAGATGCAAATATTTTAAATATTTCTTTTGAGCTGACTTGGAAGTACATTCCATAAAGGTTTTCAGTTGTTCTTCAGTGATATTTTCTGGAACTGATTTGCCAGCTAGTCTCCACATCTCCAGCATCTCACGTGCAGCAGCCAAAGTGGCAGGCTCCTTATGCTCAGAGACCGTCTCATTGACTTCTTCTTGCAACCCAGATTTCATTACCTTCTTCCACGCATCTAAATCTAGTTTTTCTGAGGGACTGCATGAATTGTCCTGCTTCAGGCAAAGTGATAAACTCAGAGTTCTACTGAGTGGAAACAAATCCTTTTTCATCCCATGTTGTGCAGCAAACGGGAGGACAGAACTTCTTATGATTTTTTTCAGAAGCAAACTGGCAGACTGCATACTTAGACATGTGCTGTGTTCAAATGCTCATCTGCAAAACAACAGTAAGAGAGGAAAAATTTTGTCAGGAATCAGAAAAAGCACCACCACACACAGATCTTCATCCTTAGTAAGGCTGACAGACAGCAACTTCTTGGGAAATACCAGAAATTCCTACTTCCACTATTACTTTTCTAATGTTTTCTACATAAAAACAGCGTCTGTGGCACTGCTGCAAATAGACAGTCAGCTCTGCTGCTTGTAACAGCAACACTTACTGCAATTCAAAATGTGGTCAACCAACCTTTAAGTATTGTCTGAAATCTATTTAAATTATCTGTATCATCTGACAACCCAATCAAACCCCCTCACAATCAAAATGCTTCATGGAGACCAAACATATAGCTCAGAGGCGTGGGCCTAATTTACCTAAACTATGAAAATGGACAAGGTGCTTCATTTTGTAACATTTTCTGGAACAATCCTGTCTCCCAGAAGATCACATTTTAGCTTCTACCATTGTATTTTGGAAAAGCTTTATTTGCAAACTTGCAAGGTTTTTCCTCTGCTTTGCTTTTCCACAGGGCAGGTCACTGAAACTACTAATGCTACTGACACTAAAGGCACTCGTACGTCCTGTGAGACCCTTGTTCGCGGCTCCCTCAGCAGTGCCTGCATGCACACCGGACTATGAGCCAAATCAGACCTGATCTTAGGGACAGTTAACCAGGAGGTGGAGAATAAACAACCGTAACAACCTGTAACAGCCCACAGCTGAACCAAACCGCGACAAGCTTGGCGACACCTCCAAGCACCGCGTACGCACCACAGCACTCCCCGGCGCGCCCCGCTCCCCATGCTGAGCCCGCAGGCCTGACCCGCGCCCGCCGGGGACAGCTGTGCTGGGTAGCACGGCACAACAGGTCAGGGAAGCGAAGGGGCGCTCCCAAGATCACCCGCGGGGCGCACGACGGGGTACCTCAAGCACCCCAGGCTCCCGGGTCTCTCAGCCTTAGCCCTCGGTGGCGAGAAACACGTGGCGAGAGAGGCCTCCTCCAGCGGCTGCGCCCGCACCTGCCAGAGCTGCTGCCTCGCTCCAGCCGCCAGGCGTCCGTCTCGTCCCGCGTGGGAAGGGAGGGAGGGAAGGAAGGAAAGGAAGAGGCTATCGGACGCGGCTAACGGCGGCCTTACAGCAGCACCGACCACGCCGCCATGTCGTGTTCACCTCACGGGGAGCAGCCTACGCGTGCGCGGGGACGGCCCAGTCCTCCGTTCATTCTCTCTCGGCTGCGGAGCTGCGCTTATTGGCTGCCCCCGGCGTTCCGCTGCTGCACCTTAAGGTTCCGGCTTTCTCTCCTCTTTCCCACAGCGCGAGGCCCTGCGGAGTACGGTGGTCCCGTGGGCAGGCCCGGGCTGGCGGGAAAGGACTGTAGAGGGGCCCCGCGGGGAGCCTTCGGGCCCTGGTGCGGGGCGGGGTGTAGGGCAGGGGCCAGCCGCCATGCTGGGCTGGGACGTGAGGCGAACGCCTGAGCCCGAGGGGTTGTCAGCCCGATGTGGTGGTCAGGAATTTCTCTTTTTAAAATAGCATAGAAAGGTTTCACTTATTTTTGACGGGGTTTTTGGTGGTTTTGGGTTTGGATTTTTTTTCCTTTCAGGTAGGGTTTTCGGTTGTATCCGTGGCCTGGCAGGATGAGTTTTGTGCTGCCCAAATTGACCTGTAAGAGGGAAGTGGATCAGGCAATAAAAATCGTGGCTGAGAAGGTTTTGGTTCTCCGGTTTGGAAGAGATAATGATGCTGTCTGTCTGCAGCTCGATGATATTGTAAGAGATTTTTTTTTTTTTTTTTTTAACTCTACTAGTTCGTTAAAACTTTACTGTTGTGTACAAGTGACTGTGATATGTTACTTTTGGTTAATATGGTGTCTCATGAAAATTGTCATAACTAATATGAAATAATACTATATTCATAAAGCTATTTGAAAATTAAGAAAACATTAATGTTATTGTAGTGAATGTATAAAGTTCTTGAAGTAGGTAAGGCATGATACTCTAGCCCTGATTAAGCTGGTAAAACATAAGAGGAATGAGTTTTGTAAAGCTTGCCACCCTTTTCCTCTTGTGTCTCAGTCTATCTGTCATCGAATTTTCTCACTCTTTTCAGCTTGCAAAGACAGCTCACGACCTAAGTAAAATGGCAGTGATTTACCTGGTGGATGTGAACAAGGTTCCAGTGTACACCCAGTATTTTGACATCAGTTATATTCCATCTACTGTATTTTTCTTCAATGGACAACACATGAAGGTTGATTATGGGTATGTTATCCTACCAGGCATTATCTATTCTAACTTTCAGAATTCTTAGTCTTTCGCTATATTACCGTGTCAGGGGAAGGTAACATTTGAAAACTGTAATGTTGTTATACTAGCATCTGCACTGAGAATTCCATAGGAAGCCAGAAAGATGTATTTTCAATTTCAAATGCTGGTGCATTAAGTAGGTGCCAGCTGTGAAACATGCCTGAATGTGAAATATAGTATGATTAAAGTCTTGGGCATGACACTGCACCTTTTTGGATGTTAGTGGTGACAGTATACTCCTGATTTGGCTATGCCATTACCAGTGCTGTTCATTCTTTCAGAATGACCACATCAGAGCCCCTGATGCCACTGTACATCTTTTCTTGTTGTTAGGTGTTTTTGCTTTGAACACTTTAGCATTACAATTCTACCTTTTATCTTATGCTTACATTTAGGTCTCCAGATCATACCAAATTTGTAGGAAGCTTCAAAACAAAGCAAGACTTTATAGATCTGATTGAAGTGATTTACCGTGGTGCAATGCGTGGAAAGCTCATTGTGAGAAGTCCTATTGATCCCAATAACATTCCTAAATATGACCTTCTCTACCAAGGAATTTAATGGGTTAACCTGAGATAAAGAATTCTGGAAATAGTGAATGTTCTAGAACCCATTTTTTCTTCAAGCCTGTTTAGCCACCTCTGGCACCGTGGGACAGTTTGAGTATTTACGTTGATGGATCATATTGATCTCGTTCTGAAAACAGACATTCTGTCACCTCATACTTCTCTTGTGAATAAAGCTACACATTCATGCTTAGAACTCACACAAGTGACTATTCTTTGAGTTGCATGCTGACTAGCACCTACAAAACAGGCAGATTGTATGCATCCTCGACTATGGCATCTGCAGTACAGCTTTAAGTGAACGAAGCCACCACATAGTCTATTAATTATCTAGTTAGTACATTTTCAATCAGATACGGTAACAGTAAACTTACCTTTATTAAAAATCTATGCTTGCTCTCAAGAGCATTCAGCTGACTGCCTTTTCAATGGAATTTTACACTTTTACCCATTACTGGACAATGGGATAGAAGCTTTTTCAAACAGGATTAGAGATGACTGAAATCTGAAATGGATATAAACACAAAAGAGAAGTTTACACACTCTTTTCTCTGATACCCAGTGTTAATGTTCAACATTTTGGTTTTTCTGGCTGAGAACTGAAGGTGTAGGACAAGGTTTTATCATCCATCAGAGCTCTTTTTTTCAGCTACTGAGTACTTTCAGTTCCCACAGGATTAAACTGGAAATTCAGAATAACCATTTTGTTTACATTCACTTTAAAGGTTATTTGACCTTCTGTTTATATAAATTGCAAACCTGGAGTATGGACACTTAAAAACTGTCTCTTATTTCCCACCTCTGTATAAAATTAAACAGCTGAGGGAAAACAGCAATGTCCTTCTTTTGTATCAGCTTGGTAACAGCAGGTTGCTAGTGTTGTGTTCCTATAGCAGCTCATGCCCAGTAATTTCACTGGTTTAGTTGGATTTTTTCTTTTTTTTTTTTTTTTTTTTTAGTTGGTGGTAGTATGTAGTTCCCTGAAGTATTGTTCAATTTACCAGTAAATGTTTCAAGGAGGAAGGTGGATGTTCAGGCTCTTGAAAGATTTTAAACACTCTGGTATATAGTGAGAAGGAAATAGATCCTTTACATGCTTTTGGTATTCCAGATTTGTCCTTTTAATGAAAGCTATGTACTTATGCAAGTGTTTTCCTGATAGTCTAGTCTGATTATGCAGACGTAACTGCAGAATGTTTATTTTTTTAAATGATAAAGATGAGAGTTGCTATACCTTAACATCTTTATTTTGCACAACTTAAATTTCACAGCTAACTGAAGGATTGTGGCTTACAGCTTACAACAATGAACTTATTTCCTGATAGTTAACTTGGATTTGTGTATTTCTCAAAAAAGAAACAAACTAGCTTCAAATTTCGGACTGTAAGTTGCTCCACAGTGAGCTGAGGGTCCTTAGATGACTGAAAGGTGCAGGGGCAGTTATGGAAGGAAGAGACCACTATCAAAACCAAATCAGTATACCTTTATTGCCTCACTTCTTACTTGTTCTGCTTCTAGTTGCAATAGGTGATTGTCTAGAGGCTGTTGCAGTCTTGGCTTTCAGAGTGCTCTTCAGGTACTTGAAGATGGAATGTAAGCAGCAGGAGGGGGCTAAACAATACTTTTCTGTCCCAGCAAAGACAGTACGACAGTTCAGTTTCACGACAGAACCCACAGCTTTATCTAGAGGCTTACTGTTTGAAACCCATTCACGGCAGTGTTTCTGTATCCATTCTTGTAGTTGTGGATCACTTCTAGTCTGGTGCCACACGTTGTGCGTGGAGTCAATGAATGCCACAGAGTACACTTTATTCATCACCTCCCCTTTTCGCTGCACTAGCAAGTCAACAAACACCGAGCCACCATAGCCATGAGCAATGAAGGCCACATTCTTGGCTGCACTCTTTGAAATGAAGTGATCCCATACATATATGGTATGCTCCTCAGGGTTGCAGCTGCCTCTCTCGAGGACCCACCAGGTAGACTCCATTGAAGTCAGTGCCTCTTGACTGGTAGACAGACTTAACCTTTCCTTTTCAGTCTTAAAATCAATGAAGTTGTCATTGGGATTCAGTACAGTGACCCCCCCTCCATGGCTTTCAAGGGCCATTTTGATGAATGGTGTTTATGTTCCATGCCCCAGGCCTTCACTGATAATTATCCTTTGCCCCCACTGTCCTGCACGGAACACTCCATGGTCTTGAAGAAGGACAGTTAGGCTAGAGTTACTTGTTAGTGCATTCTCACTCATGAAAAAGAAACTTCTTGCTTCATCCTCTGTAGCATCAGTAGGAATATAAACTTTCTGCAGCATGCAGACTCTTTCCAGGAGCTCATAAACATATTGGGTAATCAAGTGTCCCAAAACTTGATAGCGTTTATGATTCTGCTCATGTGCATTCTTGTAATAATTGAAAACAAATAACTCATTTGTATCCAGATGCCTCAGTTCCCCTTTTATGTTGAAGTTGTACTTCAGTTCCTCTCGGTACTCTGAACCCTCTATTAGGTTCCTCAAGCTTAGTTCATGCTTTGTTTGTAACCACTACAGATTAAGAAGACTATGTTACTGTAGTGATAGACCTCCATATGACACCTACATAAAAAAACCCCTATTGTATAAGAATTCAGATTTAAAAGTGGTTACAAACAAAATACTTACAGATACTGGCTATTTCTTGGTAGGCTGTGGTAAACCAGCTGCTTGTAAAGGCTCTCACAGATTTCAGTTACGAAACTCCAATAGCAGTACATTAGTAATAATCTCTTCAGTTACTTGTTCATCTTTGCAAGCACTTGCCACATGGAAATTGTACAATGGATGACAGAATAAGCTAGCCATGGTGATCCAGGAACAGGAGAAAATAAAGTCCGTGCAGCAAACTTCCATGAGATTAGACTGAGATCTCTAGTTCGAGCTAAGATCGTTTTTCAGCATACATGACTGATGAACTGATAAGAATTATACCCAGAAGTGGTTTCCGTGCAACTAAAAAATTAAGCATATAACCTCCTATTTTCTGTATAACCCTTCATCATACTACTGACTGTCACTGGCTGTAGAATGGTAAACATGGGGTAAACTTTGATGTGGTTAGAATCCCTGTTCTGTAGGACTTTTTCCTAACAGCAGATATTTGCAAGAATCAAATTCCTGTAATTATAACAATTTTAAAAATTAATTTATCATCTTAGCACAGGTTTGGGTGTTTTTTGTGGGTTTTTTTTTTTTTTTTGCAAATGGTTTATATAAAGTTATATTTGGCAAAGACATTGGTACAAGCTGCTATATACCTTTTAATTTTTCTTACTGAAATAACAAGAGGTTTTTAGAACACAGTGAACAATGGTAAACTCACTATAGCAGTAAAGCTGTGTAAAGAAAGTGATCTGAATATTTTCATGTAAGCAACTTGAGTTGGAAACCAGCTCCTGCATGGGATTCAGGTTTCCTTTTGAGCAATCTCCATTGGGGCAGAGATATTGTCATCTCTCCAAGGTCATTCCTGTCTTCTGATTAATAGGGAGTAGGCTAGAAAATAGTACCTTCTCCTTTTTTATCTCATAAAATAAGTACATATAGAAAAGGGAAAAAAAAAATCAGATTCTGTGGTAGTTAAACCATTTACTGTCTTGCCAGTTTCTTGGAATGGAAACAGCACAAGGAAGTTACAAGTGCATGTGTTCATCTGTGATTTTTCCTTCTGTGGGAAGGCATGAAATACACAAAGGAGATGGGAGAGACAGAGTCTGTTTGCTGTACCACTGAAATAGGCAGTTCACACAAAAGAGATCATATTCAGTAGAGAGGAGGCTACCCGTATTCATGTTGTTTTCCCTATGCAATAAAGTAGAAGAAAAGTGGACACAATTTAACAAAAGATGTCTGTGGATAAAGCTGAAGCACAGAGGAAGCATTCCATAACAAGTAGGAAGAAATAAATGCAGTTTCCTCATGGAATGGTATGCTGTCGAGCACTTCTCAGGGCCGTTTTCTCACCCCCAAAAGGTTGGAAACTGTAGTTTCCAGGAAGTTACTATGCTCTTATTTCAACAACATTGCTTTTTCAGTTCCAAACCAAAACAAGGATACATGATTACAAATTAAATTCTGTGTATGTAATATTGAACATCTATGTATGTAATATTGAACATCTACTTGAAGAAATAATTTACACAGCATTGTGAAAGTTTTCTGAGGATTTCAGGAGGCGGGAAGAAGCAACAGTGTTATATCAGGCGTAGGTATGACTTCCCTTCCTAAAATTGCCTTCGGGGTGTGAACTTAAAAGTTTTGAAGTAATTTACAGCAGTTTATCACTAAAGAATTCACTTGAATAGCACCTTAGACTCATACTTTTTAGTCTGGAGGACTGATTTTGTTGAAATAATACCATTTACAGAACTGAAAAGCAGCAGTTACAGATTGCTCTAGATGCTGCATAATGAATTTATTTTTTGGTTTTTTTTTTTTTATAAATCTGCATTCTAAGTCAGTGTTGACTGCTGCTTGTCCTTCACTGTCTACACATAAATGCAATATTCAAGGGTGTTTATTCTGGCAGTCTTTACAATTGCTATTTTGATTTTTAAAAAATTACTGGGTGTGGAGTAAAAACCCCTCCTACTTTTCTGGTTGGAGTGTAAAATGCTTCCGCTGTAAATTCAGCTAGTGTTTGTTACAGCAATTGGCATATTCCAAACACTACTGCAGTACAAGTAATATTCTTCATAAGATTTTAAATTCAAAACCACTTTATTCTAGTGAAGCCTAAAGTTACTGTATGCTCTCCTGTAAAATCCGTCATCATCATAGATGGAAATCTTTTTCACCCTGGGGTTCTAGACAGTTCCGTGTGAAAGAAAATAAACCATTTTAGTTCAGGTTTTGTTACTTTATGTACTTTATTATGGGCATATTTATAAAATGTATCAGTTGCTGATAGTTAAGGTCATCTTAAAGCCTTTCAGACAGTTCCAAGTTACAAGGTAATATCTCATACTTTACACCTGATCATAAGTTACAACTAAACTTCGACTGTGAAACTGAAAAGTTGCCGAAACCCGTCAGGGACAGCCTCCCATTACTTAATAATAAAGGCAAAACAAAAGGAAAACTCAAAGTTACAAGTAAAAATTACGATTCTGAAGGTGCCCTGAAAACAGACAAACAAACCCAAAACCACCAACCAAAACCCAACAGAT